AGAGAGAGAGATAAAGCAACGCCGAAGAATTTTGGGAATTGTTTGGATACTCGTTCGACATGTGTCTTGGATTTTCGCGTTCTTCGCGAGAAGCAGGAAGATACGCGACTCGGTCTCCCCCGTGACATTCGTCGAATACGCTGTTATGTACGCTGACAGTTTCGAATGACATCGCGAAAAGGCGACAATCCCAGTTAGGATTATCGCTATCGTTGCGTTGTCGCTACCGAGTAGCAAACAACGATGCGATTATACATGCTCTCAGGTATCAGTCGGTGATTCGCGAAACTCGGGAAGGAAGTTTGTGACACACATTTTTCGTCCACTTCGTGGTGCACGTGATCGACACGATGTTCGTTATCTTCTTCGCGATCGTCCGTTATTTTTCAGCGTGTCGAATTAGATTAACCTCTTAGAGGTCCCAAGATTAATGCTTCGTTATTGTTAATGCACACACCGATGACAGTCTAATTAAGTCCGCCAGCGCACGCAAAACCAATTCCCGCTACGATCCGCATCTCCAGTCGTCGATCTCGCACGACCAAGGACGACGGTCAAAAACGACGTACGAGGGGGACGTACGAGAAAGTTCGGAAAAGCGGCCGCCGCTCACCGTCGAGCTTCTCGCTAGCCGGACCAAGGTAAAGTAACCAACGAAGAGTCTCGTCTATTCCTCCGTACGTATTTTTTATAATTAATCGATTACGACGTACCTTCTCGCGTTTCTTTCGTGGACAAGCGAATAGTACGAGAGAGTTCGGGGCTAGTCCCGCGAGACGTAGGCGAATTCGAAGAGATTGACAAGAGAGTGTTCCCGCCTTCGGAAATCCTTCCGAATCCGTCTATCTTCTCTTCGCGGGATGGTGCACGCGCCGCCCGGGGCGCCGCACCGCCGCTCACCGTTCAAAATACGCCACGTATCGCCAAACGGGTTGAAGATGTTCGATTTCGACCAGACTAAAACGATTGTGATACAATATTTAACTTGCCTATGTTTTAAAAGTTCGCGGGAGAGAAAGATAGAAAGACAGAGTGAATGAGTGCTCGAGTAAGTGAGAGCGAGAATGAGAGCGGTATGTATATGTACATATACGTATATATATCGAGCGAGAGAGAGAGAGGGAGGGGGGGAGGGGGAA